GTTAAGTTGTATTGTTATTGGTAGCTATATTAAGATTATGAAAAAATTCCAAATAAGGACTTGAAATGCCCTTATTTTCTTAAATAAGGACCTAAAGTGAATCTTGTTTAAATTAAGGACATGAAGTGCCATCATTTTTCTCAAATAAGGGCTTGAAGTGCTCCCGGTTTCAATTAAGGGCTTGAAGTTGCCATGTCGGTCTCAAATGAGAATTTGATCTCACTGGCTGATCAAGGGCATTTTTGTCCTTTATTATTATTAATTTTCTTTCCTTTTTTTCTTTCCATAAAAAAGAAAAAAAAAGCTAAAAAAAACATAAAAAAAAAACCAGGCAAGCCGCCTATGGCCGCTGCTCCATTGGCGATCAGAGGTGAGGGCTGTTGGCCCTCATTAGAACCAGGAGAGGGCTGTGACCCTCTCCTTGGTCTAGGCGGCCCTCTCCTAGATCTTGGTGATGGTCGCCGGCCTTGGCCTAGGTCCGGCGAGGGCCAACGGGCCCTTGCCTCTAGCCGAAGATGGGGCGGCGACCATAGGCGGGAGGGCTAGCAAAGAAGAAAGAAAGAAAAAAAGAAAATAAAATAAAATAAGTAAAGGATGAGAATGCCCTCGACTAGCCCGTGAGGTCAATTCCTTCTTTAAGACTGATATGACCATTTCATGCCTTTAATAGAAAAAGATCCACTTCATGCCCTTATTTAAAAAAATCAGGGCACTTCAAATCCTTAATTGAAACAATATTCACTTCATGCCTTTATTTGAAAAAAAACCTTAATTTGTAATTTTCCCAAGATTCTGTCAGCAATGGTCTCGTGTCATGATAATGTTCAAATGGAGTGGCAATTCGTATATTATTGTAGCGACTCCGGCATACATTTAATAAGTAGTTGTTAAAGTCGATACAGATCTTCTCGAAAGAAGATAAAAGGGGGGATAAGTTATGAACCCTGGAAGATAACAATGCTTGACGAAACGGTGGATATAAACAAGAGGCTTGTTCGAATGCACTTTTGTTTTGTCCAAGTCAAGATCTTTCATAAGAACAAAAAGGCTAATGCTAAGCTTTCATTTAGTTTTAGCTTCTTTGGATATTTGCTCCGAAGGTGGTGACAAGCATATTCATCACAAGTCTTAGGGTGCATTTGGTTCGGTTTTGCAAATGAGCCTTGGGAAAATGCAAATGCTTTGGGCCTAAAGCCTCTTAGAGAAATGCAAATTACGTTTGATAAAAAATCATTTGTAAAGTTATTTTGGCCTAAATAGTGTTTGGCAATTTTTTTTTTACAAATGGCTTTTGGGTTTAAATTTTTTTTTAATTAAAACAAAGAAAACCCTTCGCTGACTCTAGCAAAGGGCTAAGGCCTCCGGCAGCTGTCGCCAGGGTCACGTGACCCCAAGTGACTATTGCTATGGCCGCGCAACCCCAGGGACGAGGCTTGAGGTCGCACGACCCAGGCGATCGTTGCCTGGGCAGTTGCGCGACCTCAGGCGACGATCGCCGCAGTCATACGACCTTGCCGGCTACTCGCCGGCTCGATCTAGCCTCGTCAATCGCCCTTGCGCAAAGAAGATGAACAATCATAACTAGGGGCAAAATCGAAAATTTAGAGAATTGGTGAGGGTAGTTTGGAAAGAAAAAAACTAGTTTCAGCATTCGGCCAAATGCTGAAAGCCCAACACTAACATTGGGCTTTCAGCTTTCCCAAGGCCAACATTTGGCCCAAAGCCCATTCGGAAAGCTTGCCAAATATCCCAGCATTTCTCAAGGGGCTTTACAGATCAAAAGCTCCATGAGAAAGCTGAACTAAACGCATCTTTAGAATGTCCGTCAGTAAAAGAGGAGATATTCCAATCAAAAAAAAAAAAAGTGGAGGAGATACGAGTGCAGATTAAGCACATCCGTCGGCAAAAGGCCAAAAGCTAACTATATAGCCTTTCCAAAAGCCCATTATGGTTACAAATTAAAGCCCTCAAAAGGTTGGAAAGCACATTTCAGCAAAAGAGAGAAGACAGGCCCGTCTCTCTCTCTCTCCCCAATTCTTTCCGGCAACTCGGCAAAGGTTTTCCGAAAGATACATTAGATGGCAAGGCTAAATTGATTTATATGCCTCGAGTAATATTATATACTGTAATTATGTCGGCGATGATATGTAGTGATCTGCCTCCATTTTCCAGTTTAAGCCGAATTCTTTTTTTAGTGGTTTTGTGGGGTTACTGGTTTCATTTGCTCTTAGATATGTTCATTTCACTCGGGCCGCGATTTGGGTTGTCCATGTTGACGTTCCTGAGAACCGGTAAAAGGTGTGACGAGGTTTGGATGGATAACAGGGCCATGGTGAGTACAAGTTGGGTGGTTGTGGAGGAGAGTGAATGGTTTCAGTACTGGAAATAAGATGGATAGACAATTTGCTCACTTGGTAACCAAGAATTGTTTCCATCGTTGGGATGAGCAGGGTAATCCACACAACCATGCATTAGCAGTTTTACAAACAGAAATAATTTTTCATTCCTCCTGCAGCATAATGAACAGCAAAGGAATTCTTGAAGAGGCAGAGGGAAAATTTGGTGCATTTGAGTGATGATTGTGTTGCGGCTTGGCTAAGCCATTGGAGGCTTGGAACCCAAGTCTGCCGCAACTCCCCACTTTTGTGAAAAGGCAAATCTGCGTTCCTCTGGTCATCACCTTGAACTGGTCTTTATCTTATCTTTCTACGCACATCAGAATGGTCTTCTTTTGTTTTTAAAATGCCAAGTAGTAATCTGATCTCTTCCACCTCCCCTTTCTCTCTCTCTCTCTCTCTCTCTCTCTCTCTCTCTGCCCCTTTGCTCTTTCCTCTTCTTTCTCCCGCGCACGTCACACGTACGGTTTAAGAAATCTCACACCGTCGGTGTTTGTGTCGCCTCTTCCCAATCCGACACTCTTCTTCTTCTTACATTTCTTATGCTCTTTCATAGTCATATGAAAAAAGAGTGCTTCCCTATTTGGTTATGATCATGTGTTAGGAGTCCATCCATATTAATGGCTGAGTATCATCAAACCTAACCAATGAAAAATTCGCTTTCTCACATTGATAATGTAAGCTGAACTTAGGAATTATTTGACTGAATAGAGAATGAATTATCCCTTAACGGGTGAAGGGCAATCGCCATACTGAATCCGCAGTTATGGATCATAACCCAGGCATGCAAATTTGTCATCTTCTCTCTTTAAACCCGATCAAGAACTTTCATCATCGAGTCGCTACCGAATTTCATCATTGTAAACATGAGTCACGGAAAGAAAATGGTTTTTTATTACATTAAGCAAGTGTTGTAATAATCTTTTCCACGGGTAATATTGCAAATCGCCACTCTAATGCAACATCAAATTTGAGGCTGTAAAATAATACGATCGACGCCTTCACATTGAAAGCAAACTACGCTCTAAGTGCTACTAATCATTGACAAGAATTGCCCCGGAAAATACCCGAGGCTTGAGCGATAAATGGTAAACCTGTCGGTCTTTCTAGCTCGTGACCTGGGATACCAATCTCTACACTTACGTTTTCTAGCAGCCCAAAAGCTTAGTCAAGCAAGTGACCGTAAATCAATTGCTAAAGGCAAAACTGAGGGCGTTCAATGTTTCATCATGTGCGCTCAAGTCCAGGCAGGAGACATCAAATTAGGAATGATAGTCATCTATCTACCGAGAATATAAAAACACACCTGAAAGTGCATGGAAATAGATGCAGAAGGAAGGAGGTGGTTTCCCTGATCGTGCGTCATTGACGTCGACCCTTTTTGTCAATAGGAAAATTAGCTTGGACTTACTCGTCCTTAAGTTTCTTTCAAAGCACAACTCACTGTGAACATGAGAAAATGAACTCACTCAGATAAGATACATGCTAAAATAATCTGAAATGAATCACTTCCACATCATTGAAAGGTGCCTATTTAGTAAAAAAATTTTCTCAGAATAGTGCCAGAATTCGACATGCTGTTTAGATGAACTCACTTTAATAAGATGCTTGCTGACATAATCCGAAACAAATCAGTTTCACATCAATGAAAGGTGCCTAATTTGCATAATGATCTGCTCCGAAAACTGCAAGAATGCAACATGTTGTTTAGATGAACTCACTCTAATAAGATGCTTGCTGAAATAATCCGAAACAAATCAGTTTCACATCAATGAAAGGTGCCTAATTTGCATAATGATCTGCTCCGAAAACTGCAAGAACGCGACATGCTGTTTAGATGAACTCACTCTAATAAGATGCATGCTAAAATAATCCGAAATGAATCACTTCCACATCAATGAAAGGTGCCTAATTTGTGTACTGATCTTCTCTGGAAAGTGCCAGAATGCGACATGCTGTTTAGATAAACTCACTCTGATAAAATGCATGCTAAAATAATCCGTAATGAATCACTTCCACTTCAATGAAAGGTGCCTAATTTGCGTAATGATCTTATCTAAAAAGTGCCAAAATGCGACATGTTGTTTAAATGAACCCACTCTGATAAGATGCATGCTAAAATAATCAGAAATGAATCACATCTACATCAATGAAGGGTGCCTATTTTGTGTAATGATTTTCTCAGAAAAATGCCAGAATGCGACATGCTGCTTTTAATCTTGAATAATCACACTTATCTGCTCCCATATTCTGGTTACTCGCACAAGCATGCTGCCCCTTTGACCAACTCTTCTAATCATAAGTCTTTTTTCTTTCTTCGTGTTCCTTTCCAATACCTGAGCCAGAGGCCATGCGCCAGAACATGCGTAAAATTGATTTATATAATTTTACATAAACAAAGGTTGTAAGATTTTCATGTTCATCTGGACAAGAAAGCTTGTCTAATTGGTAGTAGACTGAAATATACTATAGCCCAAGAAACCAGCCGGAAAGTCTGGTATATGGCAGTAAGACATCCGTGTAAAATCCTGATATTTTGTGGAAATAGAGTGCAAATGTTCAGACCCCTGTAATAACAACTAATTGAGGTTGCCAACCTTGAGAATGGCAGTTGTTCTACTAACCTATGTGCTAAGAAAGGTTGGGAACATTTTTGAGAATGAGGTGCTGAAGGTAAGAGATGGTTGGGAAGAAGTGAATGCTGTGAAAGAAGATTTTGACCGCATCAAAGCCATCCTACATGATGCAGACTCACTCGAAGAGGGTAGCCACTTCATTGAGGAATCAGTCAAGAAACTAAGAAATCTTGCGTACGACATTGAAGATGCTCTTGATGAGTACAAGCTACTGGAGGCGCAAGATCATGGCCATGGACTCCTTGAATTTCTACAGGAGTCACATAGCTATGTGAAGAACTGGAAAGCTTGCAGAAGGATCATGCTTCGGATGAGAGAAATAAGTCCCAAAGTCAAAACTGCCTGTGAAGAGCATCAAAAGGTGTGTTACAAGTTCAAAAAAGCTGCAGAACCATCCAGCACATGGCAAGACCAGCGTGGAAATGCTCTTCTATTGGAAAAAGCTGATCTAGTGGGTATTGAAGAGCCCCTAGAGCAACTGGTGAAGCGGTTGGTGAAGGGTCCTCTTGAGAAAGAAATAATTCCAGTTGTGGGAATGGGAGGTTTGGGCAAGACTACCCTCATAAAGCAAGTTTTTGACGATCCAGTGGTGAAGAAACACTTCACAATCCGCGCTTGGGTCACTCGTTCTCCATACTCAAGGACAGAAGAAGTCCTCAGGGACATGCTTCAGCAAATTGCTAGAAGCATCATGAAGTCTGTCCCCAGTGGAACAGACAATTTAAGTACTGATTTACTGAAAGTGATGATCAAGAGCTTGCTGCAAAGAAGAAGATCGAGGTACTTGATCATTCTTGATGATGTGTGGCGTGTTGGTGAATGGGATGCCATCAAATATGCATTTCCCAACAACAAAAATGGCAGTCGAATAATGATGACAACAAGGTATGTCGAGATAGCATTATCTTCATGCAAGGAATTTGCTGGAGAGGTCTATAACATGAAGCCTTTGCATGCTGAACAATCAATGAAACTTTTCTGCATGAAGACATTTAAGGGTCACTCATGTCCTTGGAATTTGAAGGAGACATGTGAAGACATCTTACAGAAGTGTGAGGGGCTACCCTTGGCAATCGTTGCCATTAGTGGCATTTTGGCCACAAAGGACAACAAAATAGATGAATGGCATCTAGTACGACAAAGTATTTGTTCTAAAAATGAAGGCAATGATAGACTGGAGAACTTGAACATGGTACTTTCTCTCAGTTTCAATGCCTTGCCTTACCACCTAAAACCTTGTTTCTTGCACTTGAGTGTATTCCCTAGGGATCAACAGATTGAGCATATGCGGTTAATCCGATTATGGGTGGCGGAGGGACTTGTTCAAACAAAAGATGGTAAGACACCAGAAGAAGTTGCAGAAGAGTACATTAAGGATCTCCTAAGCAGGAGCCTCATTCAAGTGGCTGAGTTAACTAGCGATGGAAAGGTCAAGATGTATCGCGTTCATGATCTCTTGTGGAAAATTAGCCGTGCGGAGTCAAACGATCGAAACTTTGCAACTGTAGTTGATGAACAGCATGCAGAGTGGACAGATAGAGTTCGACGCCTCTCAGTTCACAAAACACTTCAAACTGCACGGAAAAATGAGCCACTATGGCAACTTCGCTCTCTGTTCATGTTTGGGGTAAGCAAATCATCCATTAATAGAGTGCTCTCTTCTGGTCTCAAACTGCTCAGAGTTCTAGACATGCAAGCTGCCCCCTTGAAAAGGTTTCCAACACAAGTAATTGACTTGCATCTTCTCAGTTATCTAAATCTTAGGTGCACCAAACTCCAAAAAATTCCAAGTTCAATAGCAATGCTTCAGAACTTGGAGACCCTGGATCTTAAACACACGTTCATTTCTGTGTTGCCAGTGGAAATCACAAAGCTCCAAAAGCTTCGCCATTTACTTGTATATCGTTATGAGAATATTGCTTATTCGCACAGTAAGTTTGGCTTTAAGACCCTCGGAGAGATTGGGGCTCTGCAATGTTTACAAAAGCTGTGCTACATAGAAGCGGATGATGAAGAAAGCAGCGTCTTGATTAGACAGATTGGGAGGTTGATTCAACTGAGAAGGTTATGCATTCTGAAGCTAAAGACAGAAGACGGAAGGAAGCTATGCTTATCAATTGCCAAGTTGACCAATCTCCGTGCACTATCAGTTTCTTCTTTTGAAGATGCTGAAATTGATCTGCAAAACCTTGATTCTCCTTCACAGCTCCTTCAAAGAGTGTATTTAAGAGGAAAATTGCAGACATTGCCACATTGGATTGCCAAGCTCCACAGTCTTGCCAAACTTCACCTGAAATGGAGCCATCTCGAGGAAGATCCAATGTTATCCCTCCAAAGTATGCCCAATCTTGTACACCTTGAGTTACTTCAAGTCTATGGTTGGCAAAAACTATGCTTCAAGGCTAAAGGATTTCAGAAGCTGAAGATATTAGGTCTTGATTGTTTTGAGGAGCTTACATTTATACAAGTAGAGGAAGGAGCAATGTCTTACCTTGAAAAGTGGAGCATCCAGCGATGCAAATGTTTGAAAAATGTCCCATCAGGAATTGAGTATCTCAGCAAGCTCAAAGCGCTGGAGCTTTTTGACATGCCTGATGAATTAATCGAGAAACTTAAGCCTGAAGAACAAAACGAAGAATACGGGAAAGTTGCACATGTTCCAGAGCTTAGTTATGGCTACTGGAGAGATGGTGCTTGGGACGTTACATCAATTGAGACGGCAGTTGAGAGAATGGGAGAGGAACAGAACCCTCGAGCTCAGGACACTACCACGAAGAGAAGCAATCTTCCTCCTTGTTGGAAGTAATATCTAGCTGTGTATCAACAAAGGGCTGTTTTTACTGGTTTATGCTCATGTACATAGTTGCTGCATCTATTACAACAACTTTGATGAAATCCTTTCTGTCCATAAGATAGCTGTCCATGGAATCAGCTAGTTTAGTATTGCCTTGTACTTTTGTTTTGGTTGAAAAGAAGTGACTACTGTTTATTTGGTTTTTCTATATGTTGTGAAATAGTAAAAGTAATTTGATTAAAAAGCTGAAAACTTTTATAGAAGTTCGGCTTAGCTGCTGATGGTTCAATGTATCTCTTAAATTTTGCCAAGTTATCTGCTTAGCTAGAAACTCGTTATAAGTTCCAAAGTCAGATCATCATCACGGTGTGAGCTTGGTTAATTGACTATTTGAATGACTGTATCTTGCATAGGTTGGGTCAATATAGAGAAAACTGCTTGGCAGATATAATGTTTATTTGGATCTTGTTTATGTTTACAACAAAACCTCCAACTTGAATATCTGAATAAATCGTGAACGTTCAACAATAATTAGGGGAAATCTGACAAAAAAACGTTGATAATGATGATGACTTTCGAGTATGTTTGCAAATAATGTTCACGGAGTTGGAATCACTCCAGCAACGCCCTTACTAATGATTCCGCATCTACAACTAACATCTACAGCTAAATCATTGAATGGCACTGCACTTTGGATCTGGCTTAGCATAACGAGGTGCCAAGATAAGCAGACTTTTTGCTCCTTCTGCTATAACTGACCGGAAGACAGATGGTAGTGTGTTCTTCTCTTTGGGTAATCAGATGGTAATGTATTCTAAGCAGTTGTCTCATGTGATACCGGTCCCGACAAGGTGGGTTCTAAGTTCCAAGACCGACCCTGGAACAGCTCACCCTGAGACCCCTGAGGAGAGGGGGTGGATTGATGGTGCCAGAGTTTGTAGACAAGCATGCTGGCACGTGCTCGCACAAGTCTCATAATATATTAGCATATTGCGCACATTTCAATTGATGAGTTAATAAAATATTATCTACTTTATAAATAAAACCCAACCAAATCCATGACTCAGTTCGACTCCCATAGGGCATGTCCATCGTTGTATTTATGAGCAAATTAATTCTTTTTAATGCATCTGTATGATTCACTTAGATTACAATAGACATAAAAATGACATGTAAAGTTCACCTTTTTATGACAATACCAGATACCTAATGTGTGATAAGTTTAAAAAAGCAAATACATCAACACGGTTGAGTTTAGGATTTAATATGTATGCTTAACGTTGCCTTCATCGTGATTTGTCTAGATTTAAATTGGGTCATGAACTATATATATAAGCTCAGCGTTGAGTGCCAACATCAACTCTTCACTAGGGGTGAAGCCGAGTCAAGCTACTTGTAACTAGCTCAAGATCGACTCATCTAATTTCTAGTCGAGTTTGAATTATTTGAGTATCTTCTCAAGTCAAGTTCAACCTCAACAGGGAAATATGAACCAATGCTGTTGCCTGGACATACTTTTTAGATAGAGCAGCAAAATCATAGATTCCTTATGGAAGGAGTCTATAGCGAAGAGTGACCATTGATAAATTACTTCATATAAAGAACTCGAGTTCTGATGTAGTGGAAAGCCGCAATAGAAGTACCAGAAAACAGGTTATGTTTAACCATCTCTTACCTTCACCACCGTATCCCTGTTTTGCTATTTCTTTATATATTTCTCAAGATCTTGGCATAAACTGGGGAGGGTTCTAGCATACAGATAACCAATTGGTTTCCTTCTCGTTCATTCTTAACCAAGATAGAAATAGAAAACAGAAGAAGAAATTATTTCCACTTCTAAGTGATGTGAGTCTAGTCGGTAATGGGTGGATGCACATTTTCGTGGAGTCAAGTTATAGGATGATCCAACATACAGAAGTGGATGGACATTTTTCCTTTCTAGTTATTTAATCTACTTGGCTACAATTAGTTCGCTGCAACTTTCATTTGATCATGATGTACTGTTGTGTCATCCTCCAAGTCCTTCACGGCCTCACACGGGTTGCTCCATGCAGATTCTTCTCCTCCGTTGGGATAAATTTTCATAACCCTACTGAGTTTTGGTTACAAAATCTGCCATGAATTTGAGGAATAGTATTAGTATTGTAAATTTGAGTAAAATCTGGTTATGCAGAACTTCTGCAAGTTTGCAACTTGAACTAGCCAGATCGACGAGCTCTAACACATCATCAACAACAATTAACATGGTACTGGGAATAAACCTTGTATTTAAGATAGTGAAGTCATTTACAAAATTAAGCAGTTACAATGATAAAACTACAGTTAAGCCTCCAAGCGGTAACACGTTACTTCCAACAAGGGGAGACCTTGCTGGATGTCGCGTCAGTTCTCCAATGATGAGAGCTCTTTTCCTCACCTGATCTCTCTATCCACTTCACATCCCAACCCCCATCTGTCCAATAGCCATAACGTAGTTCAGGAATGTGCGATACTCTCTTGGAGTCGTCATCCTGTTGACCGAGCTTGAGTTTCTTGATTAATGTGTCGGGCATGACAAAGAACTCAAGCAGTTTGAGTTTCGTTAGGTACTCAGTTCCTGAAGGCACGTTTTTCAATAGCTCACATCTCGAGATCATCGACTTCTCAAGGCAAGGCATCGCTCCCTCCTTGAACCCGATAAATGTGAGGTTCTCGAAGTCATCCAGAGCTAATATCTTAAGCTACTTGAAGCCTTCATTAGTTAAGGTCAATGTTTTCCAGTCGTGAGCTTGGATTAACTCAAGATGCACTAGATTGGGCAAACTTCTGAGCAGTATCAGTGGGTCATCCATTAGCTGACACCATCTCAAGTGTAATATGACGAGGCTTTGGAGGTTGGCTATCCAATGTGGCATTGTGTGCAGACGTCCTCTCAAGTAGATCCTTTGGAGTAGCGGTGGAGGTGAAGAAAGGTGATCCAAATTGATTTCTTCATCGTCCATAAATGATGAGACAGAAAGAGAAAGGAGGTTGGTCAATTCAGCTATTGATGAGCATAGATTCTTTCCGTCTTCTTTCTTCAGCTTCAAAATGCATAACCTCTTCAGTTGATGCAATTTCCCGAGCTCTGTAATCATTGTGCTGCCTCCATCATCATCTACCACTATATAGCAGAGCTTTTGTAAATTTTGCAGAGTTCAATTTCTGCAAGAGTCTTGAAGCCGTGCTTAGTATGATAGTAGGAATCTTCTTCATAACGGTATACCAACAGATGACGAAGTTTTTGGAGTTTGATAATCTCAACAGGCAATTCGGTGACTTTGGAATGCTTTAGGTCTAGGGTCTCTAGGTGTAGAAGCTGTCTTATTGATCTCGGGATCATTTTCACCTCTGTATTCCTAAGGTTCAAGTACCTCAGAAAATGCATGTCAAGTACCTGCATTGGAAAACTCTTTAGAGGAGCACCTTGGAAGTCTAAAACCCGCATTAGTTTGAAGTCACAACTAAGCACCATATTGATGGATGACTCGTCGAGCTTGAAAATAAACAGAGATCTGAGTTCAGAAAGGTTCATATTTTGCCGTGAAATCTCGAACATCTTATGAATGGAAAGGTATCGAGCTCCATCAGGCCACTCTGGACATTGCTTGTCCCGTACAATAGTGTAGTTCCGCTATTTGGACTTTGCAATACCGATTTCCTGTAAATGGTGATGGATGCGACACATCTGTACCCTTCCGTCAGTTGTTGTCTCTGCCACTTGCAGTAGGCTTTGGTTTAAAAGATCGTTAAGGTAATCCTCAGCAACTTCTTCTGGTGTCTCACCTTCCTTTGGGTCAACAAAACCGTCTGCCATCCATAATCGAATCAACCGCATACGTTCAATCTTATGATCCTCGGGAAAAACACTCAAGTGCAAGAAACAAGATTTGAGGTAGTGAGGCAAATCGTTGAAACTTAGAGAAAGTACCTTCTTCAACTTGTTCATGTTGGCCATGAAAATGGCACGCCCAGGATCACCATAATCAGAAACCGAAACACGATAATGGAGAAATTGTCGGTTCGCGTACCTGGTTTGGAATCCATCGGACTTGACGCGGAATTGGCGACGGTTTCCGAACACGAACTCAAGATCTTCTCCCCTATACCCTTCGTTAGAACACTGGCCTAATGAGATTGCCACTCACGAGAAGAAATTTCTCTCTAGATCCGTATGTGAGTCAAATTGTGCATCATGAGGTTAGGGGAGGGACTTGAGCGCTATTTATAGAGTCTTCGACCACGGGCCCTCTCATTACGGGCCGGGCCGTACTCGGCCCACACCAGCCAGCCCCATATTAGACTTATTAAGAACCCATATATCTTACCTTTATTAGACCAAACTAATTCAGTTAATTTCAATTAATGAAGCCCACATTAGGAAATTCTTACATTCTCCCACTTGGGCGATATTAATTGAAATAGAACTGTGTGCGCACCCTTATATTGGTCTAGAGATTATTCTTAATAGTCAATCCGATCCCATAAGGTCTCGAATACCGAATCATGGCGGTAACTGCATGTACTCACGCAGAGCCTTCCATGGTCACGAGTGCTTTCAACTTTACTGATATGGATTCAATATGGTAGTGTGTCAAATGGACAATACCTCAAAATGAGTGATACTTTATGTGTTATCCATTTTGTTAGTCCAAATTCTCTCTCCGTTAAGTGTCACAAAACCTAATGTGTCACCGTGAGAATATACTTCATGGTTCCAACGAACCTTCATATGTCTTACCTTGATAGTTAATCGTACTTTATGTGTAACAAGACATATCGTTAAGGCTAATACTAAGAATGCCCCATAGCCTCGTACTCAAGGTTTACACAATGCCTCGAGATTTTCATCAAATATGTATACTCAACTTGATAAATCTACATTCACAAATACCTCATTGAATGCAAAAGAGTTGATACATATTCAAATATTACAAAATGTAACAAAATCAGATACAAACTTCATAAGAGCAACATAAAACTAAACGGCTCCC